ACGTTCATCCAAGAAGATGAAGTCCGCTGCAGATGGACACTGCGTCTGCTGGCTGCCCCGGACGACTTCGGCCATCACACACCGTGTTGAGAGCGAGCATGCATGCTGAAGTCGTGAGAAAGAACCACGAGTATCTTGCAATTGCACGATGGCCACTAGTTATTGTTGCTACAAGTGGGAAGTTGTTAAGCTGACGTCTCATGCTGAACCCTAAACCCCTAAAAACCCTGAACCCCTAAACCCCAAATCCAAAACCACCGACAAACCCTACACATCCACAGAAATCGACATGATTCTTGGGGTGGCAGCTGAACCGCACAGCCCGCGGCCAAGCATGGCTCTTAGCCTTAAAACCCTAAACCCTGAAATAAAATCCCACAGGCCTAACCAAAAGGTTCTGCGAACCTCCTTGCAACAGGATCCTTAGCAGCGCTTAAGAATTGTAGGCGATGCGTCTTTGCGGTCTTATTATCCAGAGCCCTTAATCCTAAACCCTAAAGGAAGGTGTACTAGGAATTCTGAGTTTAGGGTGTAGTTTGGGGTTCCTTTTCTGGGACCTAGCGGTTTTACGGTTTCGGCTTTAGGTAACTTCAGCTCTACCGGCCTGATCTCGTATTATGCAGGCCACAAAACCTCTTGATGCTAGGTGCACGATTTAGGCTTTGTTCGGGGTTTAGAGTTCGTAAAGGATCAGAGATCAGGGAGCATGGCAAATAGCTGATGATTAGGGTGAGGAATACCAGAAACGCTTCCGATACTCATCACTCGAGCTGGACATAGGTACCCTAAGCCCTAAACCTCGAAACGCAAGGATTCAGCAAGCCCTGAACCGCAACTGCCTACCTCGAGAATGCTGAATCCTACCCTATTCTTGGGACGCATCGGCCCCAGAAAAGCCAGGGGTTTTAGCCGCCCCCTATGTCGAATCACCCCTTCGTCTTAGGGCACTTAACGAAGCCCTAAACTTTCCTAAACCCTAGTTCTAAACAATGCAGGTACACTGCCAAAAGGGCCTGCGGGCGTCACGAGGGTCTCCTGCTGCATTGCATCCTGGCTCGCGTACGAGAGTTTTTATGTGAGCCTTTAGGTTTTTTTCAGCACATTTTTCCGCCTGCCTATACTGTCTAAGCCGACAGCTTTTAGGTTTAGGGTTGTGCACTTCTGAAATGGGATTGCAATTTTTGAACGGGCCAAACAGCACTTCAACTGTGGTTGTCTATCAGACAATCATTGGAATTCAACGGGGTTCCAAAAAAATTTAAGGCGAAAAGGCTAGCGGCCAGTGTTAGTATAAACCCTTGATTTAGATCCCGCCTATCAAGATAGCGATCTCAAAGTTAAGGAATTGAAATAACTCCATTTAGCTGACGATCTATTCGTCACGGGTTCACGATACTTTCTGTGCTATAATACACCCAACAACCCTATTCTGCTTGTCAAGGATACTCAACCCCTGTATACCCCTCATAACCCCTAACTCTGGATTTCCCGCCATGACTCGCGGATAGTCTTAACCCACAAGGTATTAACCCCTTGAAACCCCCAATGCCCCCCAATGTACGGGCCTTATCTAGTAACTAGTAGAATACGGTTGCCGGATATGGGAGTCTCCGACTATGGGGGGCCCTAATATAGTACCCTAAATAGTAGGATCCTTATTTTGAGGGTCCCAAAATAAGGTACCCCTAATTTTCGGAAACTCCCATATGTTGGAGTAGAAAGTTAACTTCAAATTCAGCCCCTCGGCCGGAATCGACCGCTGCCGCAAACCCTGAGGCGACGGTGTACAGCCCTGACGGGCCAAACCTTAAACCCGTACTTCGAGGATCATGGGACTTAGTAAGTAAGGTTATAAGTACCCTAATTGGGGTTATAAGTATAGTTACCCCAATTACAACTCTAGTTACTAAGTCCCATGATCCTTTAAGTAGGCCTGAACCCCGACCACCCTAAACCCTAACCTTGCGCCCCAAAGCTGCCAAAGGTCATAGTCCCCGTCCAGCCCATGTAGCAGGATGCTAAGCAAAAGGGCCTAACTGGGATTTACAACAAGTCACGAGTGTAGTTGTAGGATATACTTTTTGTGGTGGCTTTTATCTGAATGTTCTTAAAGGGGTGGGGCAAAGGTCTTTGAAAGGACGAGCCTATGTGGAAAACGCCATCACCTAAGCAGATCCTACGCAAGAAGGGAACCTACCGAAGGGCTGGCGTAATACACAGGCCGGCAATAATTCGAACAAGGTTCGGTTTGTGGCTGGCGAGGGAGTGCGATGTGTGGTATAGTTTTGCTTAGAACCCAGGGATTTAGTATTAGTACTTATAGTGAACTCAGTATAGAGGCTTAATGATTAGAACTATTTTTCAGGGATCAGAAATTGGTGGGGTGCGCTCTAGTATACTAGTATAGGGACTTGAAGCGGATACTTTTACAAGCTTCTGAGACAGCTGATTTGAACAAGTTGTTTTTTGCAAGCTAGGGGTGCCTGGAGATTCACTATTATACTCGAGCTTTAAGGCCCGTGACTTTAGGGCGAGCTTTTGTAATTACAGCTCAGAGTGTTCAGGGGCTGTTCGACACTAGGGTTTAAGGCATAAGGTTCAGGGCTGGAAAGGTTGGGGTTCTGGTTCAGGCTTTAAAGTGGCCCTCCTGTAGAATACTAGTTTGAAACGACCACCCTAAGCACTAAACCCCTAAACCCTAAATCCTAAATCCCTAAATCCCCAAATCTCTAAACCTTTCTAAACCCCTAAATCCCTAAATCCTCAAATCTCGAGACCCTAAATCCCTAAACCCCTAAACCCTAAATCCTCAAATCTCTAAACCCTGAATCCCTGAATCCTCAAATCTCTAAACCCTAAATCCCTAAATCCTCAAATCTCTAAACCCTATATCCCTAAATCCTCAAACCTCTAAACCCTAAATCCCTAAATCCTCAAATCTCTAAACTTTAATACCCAACTGTTGCTATCTTACCGGAGTTGCCGCTACAGATACGATGAGAAAGGAAGGGTGTAGTGATTCGGTTGATGTTATAAATCCTAGGGTTCCTTTAAAGGGATCTATAAGGGTACCTTTAAGGGGTTCCTTTAAGGGATCTATAGGTTTTAGGTTTAGGGTTGATGATATAAATCCCGCATTACCCATAATAAGGAATATACCGTAATTCCCATAGTTTAGGGTCCTTAAGGTAATGCAGGATTTATATCATCCACCGCTAGGCCAGGGCTTTTGTTTGGGAAGGGGAGGGGCAATGCTGCAAATGCGACGAAGGACGAAGGACCCTAAGGCATACCAGTTCTAGTTGTTCTAGCCACGTCTTATGCAGGTCTTGGGTCCTGCAGGCTTCAATGGCACCCAGTCTGCCTGGAGTTTGCTGAAGAAGTCGTGGACCACGCCGGTCATACTAATCCTCGCAAAAGCAGAGACTCCAACACCTCCAAATCAAGGAATTGATCTGAAACCATAGCAAGGATCCGTGACGAGGGACTCTTAAGTACGGAGTCGTCGTGAGAGTCTATCATGGACCGTTCCATAGGGCCGTAGGAACCGACTCACCGTCAGAATGTTCTGATGTCTTAAGTCTTGTATAAACGTTGTACTACCGTAATGGAGCTTGGATTTGAAATCCATAAGTTCTACCTGCAGCCCCCCCCCCAAAAACCAACCCTTTTACGGAACCCCAGAAAATTAGGTTCTTGGGCTACCGGTAGCTTAAACTGGCCTTCGCTTTGGCAAGCTACAAATGGGAGTTTCCGAAAATAGGGGACTCTAATATGGTACCCTAAAAAAATAGTAGGATCCTTATTCTGACGACCCCAAAATGAGGTACCCCCTAAAAAACGGAAAATTCCACATGGAGAGGTCATATGGTTTAGGTTTCGAAGCCTTTTTGTCCCAGCTTGTTGAGGCATCGCTGAGTTGCAAGAAGCTAAGCTAGCGGTTTAGGGTTGCTAAGTCCATTCCGCAAGCCCCGAACCCTAAACCCTAAACCCCTAAACCCTAAACCCCTAAACCCTACACCCCTAAACCCGAAACCCCTAAACCCCTAAACCCAAAACCCCTAAACCCTAAACCCAATGCCCCAAGGCCTGAACTCCACATGCAGGCAGAGTGCACGCGAGCACGAAGATCGTAGAAGGGTTGGCAGGACAGCACCTGCTAGATCTGAACAGTATGGGGCCTGCATAAAAAAACCAGCATCATTTGTAGGGTTCCACGGTTTTGAGTTTAGGGTTTAGGGTTTTAGGGGTTGAGGGTTTAGTCTTATATGTAAACAGCCTGGAAATGGCTTTGCTAATTGTCCACGCTTCCATACACCTTCAAAGGCAGGGATTTAAGTACTGAGGAACCATTCAACACCCCAAGCAACACATTTTTGGCTAAGGTTGATGATATTCACCCACACATACAAGTCAACGTAGGAAACCATGCAAGAGCGGCCGTGACGGGACTTTGATGGTTAACATGGCGTTGTTCGGGACTCCCCCCTCACAAGAAAACATCAAGGGGACCCCCAAACTATCGCTTTTTAGGGCGAGAGCACAAAACTTGGAGTCTCCGCTTTGCTGGTACGCATACCCAGCCCCAAAATGCATCTCAGGTTCCACATGAGTGAAAAACTTCGCTGCTCCTTTGCTGAATTTCTTGCCTGGCCCATACGGTATAGCACGCAACGCCGGTCTCAACACCAGCAAACTGTTGCCCAGGGTTTGGTAGGTATGTTACAGGCAAATTCCTGGGCCAATAACTTTGATCAGATTGTCCGGAGCACCAAGAACGATGTGCTTGCTTGATCCTTTTCAATCCCTGCAAAACGCACATCATAACCCCGGGTGAAAGTCTGCAAACCCCGGAAAGGCTCTAACCCCAACTCCCTGTCCTCTTGTGCTGCCTTAAACGAGCAAGCATGACTCCTTGTCTTGTAGATCCTCAAGCAAGCAGACAACTGCCAAAAAGGGAAACAACAAAACACAAACAACACCCAAGATCCTGAACCCACCTCCGTGAGCAAGTAAGACTCCCAGCGTGTATTCTCCTGCGCCGGATCCGTAAATTTAACGTACGGGCCTTCATGCATAGAAAAAGGTTGTCGGATTACATTGTAGACTGTGTAGTACATAAAGGTTGTACTATGTTCAAGCAGGATACAATGTATTCCGACCTATGTATTGAATGTTTGTTGGCTTCACACCTGTTGATTTTATAATTGATATTATTTCAAATGTTCATCTGCAGCATGCTTGTTTCTGTTGTTAATAATCTTACTAGTTTCATTAACAGTACAGTAGCATTAGTATGGTTACCATAACTGTTCTTTTTGCCATTTCTGAGAACTCTGGCTTACGGAGTTTTGACCGGCTGTCTTGGCTCCAGCCGAAGCTTTGAGCACTTTGAAGCCTAAGGTTGAGGGGTTTAGGGTTTAAGGGTTTGTTACAGGGTTAGGGTTTGAGGTCCGCTACAACTGGAGATCCCTGTTAAGATCCCTATACAGCCGGCATTATTAATCAGTGGTCTGCAATACCAAAGTGCTTCGAGACACAACAATATGTCAACCACATAAGCCCCGTAAGCTCCTTAGCCAGGCAAACCTTGAAAACAACCTCTAAACCCAAACCCAAATCCAAAACCTTAAACCCAAACCCTAAACCCTAAGCCAAAACCCTAAACCCTAAATCCAAATCCCTGTCCAGGATGTCGCTGAGTCGTTCCAGTGTGCCTTCCAGTTGCGCCTGGCAGTCTGCTTAACGAATTCTTAAGGCCTCAGGGTTTGGGCCTTAGGGTTTAGGGTTTAAGCCTATAATATAGTACCCTTTTAGATCCTTTTTGAGGATCCCTTTAAAGGAACCCTTACTAATTATTAAGGCCCCTATACTAACATAACTAGCATAACTGTCTGGTTCTTAGCAAGTAATGAGGCACTGGATCCCCTACGAGAGTGCCTTAAGGTCCCCCCTGTAGCAGTCCCAATAACCCACCCCCCATTCCCTACTAAGAACCAGGCAGTTAAAGGATCATGAGACTAAGTACCTGGAATTATCCATAAAGTAACTGTATATACTTGTAATTACGTATAAGCCCAACTAATGTCCCTGATCCTCCAAGTAGGGCTAGGGGTTTAGGGCCCATGGACTAGGGATGAGCTAAGTGCAAGGGTCTGCAACATAGGTGACTTTACCACGGCACTGCTCCGCAAAAACCCCGTCTATACACATGCAAATACAGTGATGCACCGAAGCTGGACTATTTCTAGATGGCAGCACGCTAGCCCTTAAGCCTTAAACCCTAAACCTTAAACCGCATATCCTAAACCCGTGACGGATGCCCGTTTTTGCCATGAAGGGCTGGGAGTGCCTACCTGATGGAATTCGAAAAGCTTTCGCTGGTCAGCGGCGTAGGTGGCGAAGAAGCCTTGCAAGCTTCAACTCCTTCTACTTACAAGGTTACGTAGGGGTTTAAGGCCCAAAGGTTTAGGGTGAAGGGTTTGGGGTTAAGGGTTCAAGGTTTAGGGTCCAGGGATCCGAAACCGTAAACCCGACTGGGGGTATTCTAAACCCGACACCCTAAGGCTTGGGCTCGCTTTCTGTTAAGGGTCACCGTGGCCAGGGTTGATGCTCTTCTTCTTTGCCTCCGTGAATATATGAGTAGTGGTAACATACAGAACCAGCAGGGAACAGTTTTCGGCCCCTCAAAAGTGGGACGCATGGTTTGGCTACAAGATTCTGGGGTGGAGAACTTTAAGGTTTGGGGTTTAGGGGTTTGGGGTCCAAGCTAGGCTCTCAACGAATAGGGTTTAGAGTTTGAGGGATTTGGGGTGCACAATAACCAGCAGGTGCGTAAAGATGCGTAAAGGGCACCATGTTGAGATGGCCGCCAGCAGCCTATCCCTTCATGGGCTAGGAGGCTTATGCAACACGTGAATTTACCTGGGCCCTCTCGGTTTTGTATTGCGCAAATCTCTGTATGGGGTTCCATAGACCTGTCCGGAGAGCGCGCGGGAACTACGTACTACAATCTTAATGCCCGAAACCGACCGACAGCTACAGGGGCAAATCGCGGGTCATGCGACTGAGATGCTTGAAAGTTGGCGGCCAGAAGCATTTTCGAACAAAGTGCCTCAACATAGATCCCGCCTAGAATGGTCCTGGTATCAGGATCCCTGAACAAGATACGCCAAACTGTAGGATACACGCTAAACCCTGACGCTACAGTAAAACCCTTGAACCTCCTAATTAAACCCCTGAACCTTGGACCCTAAACCTGAAACCGTGGTTCCTAAGCCTTGAACCCTAAACCCTAATCCTTAAACCCTTGAACCCCCGGACCCCAAACCACTCCTTCAGGAAATTTTGGGCCAAGCGACCGTAGGCGTATGTCCACTTGAGGAAGCGCCTCACCAAGTTGCATCTTTACTATAACACCCTTAGAACCGTGATAAAACAAATATTTTTCATAACAAGTATTTTTAATGCTCTCTTGGGCTTTATACGAACAAAAAGCAAAAACAATTCCAAAGGAGACTATAGTCTAGTGTAGGGGCCTTTGAACGTTAGGATTCAGAGGTTTAGAACAGGGTTTTGGGTCTGTTATATTATTCTCTAATTGGATTTGAGGAACCCTGAGGCATAGTATTGGCAATTATTCTGACCCGTATTTCAGGGTTTAGGGAGCTCCCTCTGCATGGAGCCGAGATCAGGGTCTACAGTAGGGTTTTAGGGGTTTCGATGGGCGTTTTCTGGGGTCTATGGTCGTATGGTTGATTTCAACGGTTTCGGGGTTAAGGGCGGGGCTTAAGTACCCCATCCCTGCAATCGTAATGGTCCAAGTATATATTCAAAACACTGCATACGTGAGCACAAGGGCTTCCTTGATCGACGCTTCTAGAGAGCTGCAAACGCTTGCCTACTCCGACCCCGAATGTGCGGATTCATGCCTATTACGGGGCCGTAACAGTTGTAATAGGGCTTGGGGGTATACTACATACGGTACAAATATAACACTGAACCGAAAGGAACAGTACTGCAGTAGAGTTCTTAGACCCCTACATCAAGGATCAGGAGAACTTAGCAAGTAGGCTAAGATTGGGGTGATGGTACCAAAACTGCAGGTATCCGACTGCGCCACTGCGTGTCGCCTTCCTGCCATATCCACAGGGTCCAACTGGAATATCATGCCCAAGGTGAGGTCGCCCAGTACCTTAATGATTGGAATAGGGTTTTGGGCCCATTATAACGCTGCCTCAGCTCAGGTCCTCAGAGCCCTCAGGGTTTTGTTCGGGTTCATCTGCAGCCGCCTGCTCTGCCTGTGTTTCCGCTTGATTATTCTTCAAGCGTTTGTAAGCTTCATCCAAACCAATCACGTGCTCAATGGTTTCGGCGCCTTGCACCATGGATTGGAAGCTCTCCCAGGTATCCACCAAGCCGGGCTCCTCCTGAGCCTCGTCAGGACCCGCATCCACTGCAGCTGGCTCCTCAGCTGCACCACCGTCCCCCTGACGGGCTCCTTGGCCTGCAATCTGCTTCGCCCCGGCCTGCAAACAGAATTAGAATAAGGCACCCCCAACATAGTATTGGCAAATTATTTAAGCCCCTATAGTAAGCTGGGCCGACGGACATCGCGGTGGTGGGAGCTGGCCCATGCAGCCATCCCACCGTGTGTCTTGTCTTGGCACACGCTGTGGGAAACCTGTCCCCTCTCGTCCTCCCTCGAAGAACCGACGCGCCAAAAACGCCAGGCAACCTGTCTGCCGATTTGCGGTCCTTAGGCTTCGCCGCTAAACCCTCAACCCCAAACCGTGGAAGGCTTTTGAATGAGGATTTCGGGTTTTGGCTTCTGGTCCGTGATGGCCAAGCGGGTCCTTAAGACGGTAGGCTTTCTTCTGACGGTCCCTGCGAGGTAGGTTCGGGCGGAAGAGTCTTGTTCGAGGACCTGGACCATTAGCGCTATTTGTGGGCGGCAGGCAATATATCGACATCGATGAAATCATTTGTGTGGGAAAGAAAGAGAGCCAAATCGAAGTAGGTTGGTGCACGGTGAGTTCTCAAGCACTACTATGGACCGAAAACTGTTCAAATTCAGACCCTGCACGATAAAAGCAGCAGACAGCACTCCTCAACATCGAAAGGTGCTAATCCTAAGCTCCACAAGCCTAAGTGCGACACCGTCAAGCAGATCTCCCCCCTGACCCCTAAACCTTGAGAGTCCAAGCAATCTGACTCTTTCGGAAAACAGAAACCCCAGGGATTTAGGGTGGATTTGGGGTTTGAGGTGGTGTCGGGGCCTGCTGCTGACCACTTGTTCACATGCTGTCTTGAGGAAGGCCACGTCGTTGACCTCCACGGCGCCAGCACGTGAGGATGTTTTCCAAAGACTTCACAGTGCGGACGACTGGCAACAAACTTCCTCGCAGAAAACCCAACCAAAACAGGACCTGCCCTGCTATTTTTGGGGACAGGCCTTCACCCTAAACCCTAAAGCCCAAAACCCTAAACTGCCCTAAACCCCAGAACCTAGTCTTTCTGCACAACTACCATGAACCCTAAGCCCTCTTAGGAAGCTAGGGCTCGTCAGGTAGAGATTCCTGCTACAAGGACTTCAGGGTTTAGGGTTTCAGGAGTTAGGACTGGAGGTTTCAGGGTTTAGGGGTTTAGGGTTTAGGGTTTAGGGTTTAGGGTTTAGGGTTTAGGGGCTGGAGCGCTTACGAAGGAAAAGGACAGATTGAGGACTAGTTTTTCTCGTATCTTAGGTCGGGGTGAACAGAACCTCTTCTTCATACAGTGAGGGTTCAGGGCCTCTGTTTGTGAATATCAACTCATGAAGGGCGAGTCACCAAGTTAAGACTCCGATCCCTCACGCAAACCCAAATTACTGGCATCAGCGAGGTCACAAGAGATGCAGCTTAGTAAATCAGACAAATCTCCTCGCTCTGGTATCTTGAACTCAAGTTTCTGTACGATAGAAGAGTAATTACACGTAAGATTGTCAGGATTATCAACCTCATCCCATGTTCGTCTGCATCATCGCTGTCATCGTCGTCACCTTCTTGCACACCACCAACATGACCTCGGTCAGCTGCTTGCGAGCACTTCTTGAGAGAGCCACCGTCACAACAAATGATAAAGAACGTGCCAAGGATGCTGAGCATGCTATTGCTACTTATGACAAGTATGACCGCCATTGTGACGGCAGTGGAACCCGTGACTCTGACGTCTTCTTCCGCTGCAGCTCCGAAGCAAAGTCTTTCAAAGCCCTCTGGACCCTTCACCCTGCAACCGTGGTCCCACTTTCATCTCTCTATCAGAGAGGACGCCTTGATAACAGTGAAACTTCTACAATACAGGGGCCTTAGTAATTAGAATAGGGTTCTGGGGCCCGTTCTACTATACTTATAATAAGGAACCCCCCAAAATATTAAGGTTCCTGTAGTAGCGTTGGCAACACTTCGTTGTGTGCGAGAGGAAGGGGTTGTCGAGATTTCAGGTTTAGGGCTTTACGGGTCAAGGGCTTTTGCAGGATTTAGCACAGGACTGCCGGAAAGAGTCTTCACAAACCCGGATCAACTCTTGTAAACAGCACGAAAGTGGTGGACTTCACAGCTGACAGGACTTGGTGCCGCCGGCCAACTTCGCGGCCCTCGCGGCGGTTCACAGTCATCGGCCGGATTTCCAGGAAAGGCTTACACAAACCCATTTCCGTTGTAAACAAGGCTTACCTTGAGGGCCCAAAATAGTTCCTTTTTTGGGTTCATATATAGAATCATATAAGGTAGTCCCAAAAAGGAACTACTTTGGGGCCTATGAGTGCAACCTGGTTTAGGTTTTTAGGGTTTGGGGCAGTGCGAAAACTGGAATGGCAGAATAATTTCTGGGCCCTGGCTAGGGCAGCTGAGCCGAGCGAAATTTAAATCCTTCAAAAGCTCCCAGACCCTAAATCCTTAACCTACCTTGTTAGCAAAAAGGGGCCTTAAAGGTTAGAACTCTGGGGGTTCGGGATTGGTGTTAATGGTTCGGATGTGAAAGACAGGGGTAGCCACAGAGCTCCATTACGGTTTAGGGTTTAGGGTGCGGCTTGGAAATATTAGCGTACGAAACCGCTCATAATCATAGTAAAGAAACCCTACGTAGTTTAAGGCTGGTGTATAGTCCATACGTATAGATGCACACGTAGAGTTCTGATTATGTAGCATACAGTATATACTTAGGTATCTAACTATTGAACTCTTTCGGTAAAGTTGTATATATGTAACTTCCACGTCTAAATAAGCCCTGAACAGAATGGGAATAGCGGCATATTCCTTATGATGGGTGTTGTAGGATTTATATTATCAACCATAGGAGCACCGGCCCAGATGGCATCATTTGGTGTGCGTTAAACGTTGTTCTCGCCGGTGGCACTCAGAGATCTGCGAGTATCTCAACAGTTAAAGGTTTAGGGTTTCGCGGGTTAGGGTTGAATTTTTTTTGAGACCCTTTTTCCCGAAGTCCCTAGCAGCAGCGACTCCAAGATTAGGGTTTAGGGTTTAAGGTCAACCCTCACGAAACGTGCTGAAATCTCGAAACCTTAAGTCCTAAATGCAACATGGGTAGTTCTCTAGACCAGGGTCCCCTTGTCGGTCCCCCTTATGGAAAACGGACCCTAAACGGGAGCGTAACTTAGAGAACTACCCACATCTCAAACAGGGTGAAAGGTAAGTAAGAATAATTTGGGTGATATGTTAGGACCTTAATAGTAATAGTAGCCCCATTATAGACTGTCACTGTATGGGGGTAGTACCCAAAGAATACTAGGGTCTGGGGCTTTTGGCATCGGGTTTGGGTCGGTTTAGGGTTTAGGGGTTTAGGGTTAAGGGTTCGGGGACTATGCTTGGGAGTTGTAAGTGCCACCGGGGTTTGGGCCGCTTCTGCTCGTTGCACGCAGGGCCAACTGCGACGAATGAGGAAAGCTCGAAAAGCTCAGGCTGCGTTACTGTTCCTGGTTTAGAGTTTAGGGTTTCCGGGATGGGTTTCGGTTGTCCAGCTTTAGGGGTTCGGGCAGCCTTGTAGCTAAGCTCTCTGCCGCCGATCTTGGGCCGCTTACTCCCGAAGCCCTGGACCGTTACTGTGAGCCCTGAATCATAAGTACGGCCTCTCCTGACTGAAAATCCTCAGTCCTGACCCGTAGACCCTAGACCCCTATTACGCCCCTTCAGCCCAAATCCCTGAAGCCCGAAACCCAGACTAACCAGTGGTTTTGGGGTTCCCTGGGCTCTTTAGCTCCTTATTCAATAGGGATTATCATCATCCCTGGCTCCTTAGCTCCTCCAATATCAAAGGTTAGCTAAACCCCAAGCAGCACTCTGAGCCCTACATCCTGTGCCTCTCTACACAGTGATCCAAGAAGACCTCGAACATTCC